TCTCTCTCTCTCTCTCTCTCTCTCTCTCTCTCTCTCTCTCTCTCTCTCTCTCTCTCTCTCTCTCTCTTTGTGTGTGTGTGTGTGTGTGTGTATGTGTGTGTATGTGTGGCAATTGCGCCTTTGGATAAGCGAGGGTAAAAAAAAGAAAATACCTGAATGAATTCACTGGAGCATCCGTCTGTCAGGAGTGGGCTAGTATTCTGCACCAGGGCCCATTGGTACTGTGCTCACGTTAGGAAAGCACGAATGTGGCCCACTTTTTGAGCCAGGTTCGTGCTTTCCAACCATGAATATAGCACCCCTAGAGCCTGCCCCTTAGCATGTAATACACTATACCTTAAGCAGCATTGGCGAGGGGGGGGAGGTCCATGACACGCTGCGGCCCGGATTCGGGTTGAAGTTTTGGTGAGGGGCGGCGGATGAAGGCGATCGAGGGCTGGGGAGTGTGCAGAGGGGTGCGTGTACCGAAATGTTCACAGCGCGCCATTAAACGAGAGTGCGGCCCCGGGAGCGGAGCACAGGGCTGGCATTGATGCAGACGAACATCTTGGAGGCGAGCCATCCGATATGCGGGTGGCTTTTTTTTTGTTTTGTTTTCCCCGGTTGGCTGTCGTTTTGTGCCTCCCTTCTCCTCGCGCGGCTGTCGTTTCGTGCCCCCCGGTAGGCCGTCATTGTTTCTGCGGACGAACGTCTTGGAGGCGAGCCATCCGAAATGCAGTGTGAGGTCACCCATAGCATTTGTTATTTCTGCGGGCGTAGCCCGCACCGCCCACACGGCGGATACTTAGCTAGTATAGTATTAAATAGCATGTCTGTCATGCGGGAGAGCTATCAGCGCAGCTGCCGCATGCATTTGCAGACCTGAAAGCTGTGTAGCAAACTCAGTGTTCGGAAGGATGACTGCATTCACAACTCGATGTTTTTGTTTTTTTGTTTTAGTCTTTTTTTAAGCTTTTTCTAAGTTCTGAGGTATGTCACAAACTCAGCGTCTGGCAGGCTGATAAAAGAATAATGTGTCTGAGTTCGAACCGACGTATGGAGCGAACTTGGCGTCTGGCAGGCTGATTCAAATATTGTGTCTGTGAGTTCGAACCGACCTATGTAGCAAACTCAGTGTCTGAGTGTGATTCAATATTGAGTTTTAACTTTTGACTTTGAAATTTGATTATTTCAAGGTCGTCAGTGCCCGTCAGTCACCTTTTAAAAAGAAGAAGAAGAAGGAGGAGGAGAAGAAGAAGAAGAAGAAGAAGGAAGAAGAAGAAGAAGAAGAAGAAGAAGAAGAAGAAGAAGAAGAAGAAGAAGAAGAAGAAGAGAAGTGTGGCCGGACATCTTGCAGGCCCAGTTGCAATGATCTAAGCTGCATCGACTCGACAACCCAGATGATGACCAGGTGCAAATTAAATCTAAGCTGCATCGACTCGACTGGACGATGGGCTAGACAACCCAGACCCAGATGATGACCAGGTGCAAATTAAAAAAAAAAAAAAAAAAAAAAAAAAAACTTTAAAAAGTACTATTTTTACTACTAGAGAAG